GTTTAAAATTGATTGGTTATCATGCTAAATTAGCCGAAATTAAATGTTTCTGCACCAATAAATTATGAATTTCTCAAGAAATAATAATTAAGATGTCGAAATTTTTCTCTTGCCAAACACTTATGCTGATAAAATATCGTCGGTTTGTTGCAAAAAGACATTAAATGACATTTCATAACCTTAAATAACTAAGGAATTTGATTGGTTGTGAATTAGAAAAATGTACACTTATTGTAACTGTATTTGATATATAGAAGAGAATGTGTCATTTTAGTCGAATTACTGTGTTTTCTTATCGATGAATAAGGTAAAAATCATAAAAAGTTTCTTTTGAGTTTATATCAATTATATCTTCATCGAAAATGTACTTCGTGACTTTTTGCAATAAACCGGCGATTAATCAATCGGCATTTACTAGTTCTTTTACTTGAACTGCTCTTTGTAACAGCTTCAAATTTTACTTAACTGTTACTTTGATGGCAACGCTGATATTTCCATCATCAATATGAAAGTAAATTTTCTTTCATGACTAAATTTAAGTTATTCATTTTTTGTATCGGGGTCGGACGTGGGGACCAGTCTTTCAGGTTTGTCGGATGGGATGCTTTCTCCCCCAGTTTGGGGCTATCTTGATACTAGTACTAGATATTCATAGAGTTCATTAATCCTTTCGAATCTCCTAGCCAATAGGCCAGGTTTTCTTTTTTCCCGTTGTTTATTCCTTTAGGCGCCGTTGCTTACGACCTACTGGTTAGGCGAAGAGAAATAATGATCCTTTGGTCGGGACCTTTCGTTAGTTCCCGTAGGAAGCGCAGAGTGGATCCCAGATAGGTTGGGCTGATGTGGCGAATTAACCGCTTGGTAAGCATTAGGTGCAATCGCCTCATTATCCCATCTACTCCCGCTAGTGAACACCCTCTCCCCCCCTCTGAACTGGGTTAGTAAGGACTTAGCTACCTCACACTGAGTGAAGCATCACTCCTTTCTGACAGGTCATGTTTCGCCTGTGTGTGTGGCTCGATAGTGATTCGCTGCATTCACGATTTATGGCCTCCCATTTGTTAACCATTTTCTGTGTGCAAATATCTTCAACTGCCGATGGTTGTTGGCATTTAATGGAACTTCCAAAATCCTATAGCAATTAATTTTGATCGATCATATAGTTTAGTGTGCTCCCCCTTTTTTTTTACTTTTATATTTTGTTTGATTTTTAATTTTATCCATTTATTATTTGTTAATCTGCGTTTGCATTGATTTAATTCTACTAGTATTTTAATCGGTGAAAGTTGTTTCTTTTCAAAGTTGATTTTTTTTTTCTGACTCCTTTTGACATATTTGACTTTTGCCATTAGTCTTCTAGCAGCTACAGAACTGTTCTAGGCGACAGCTGTAATCGTTTAGTGCTCTTATACAGATAAACAGGGAGCACGTGGTTTATAATAACCAGGCGCGATCACATATTATACCCTCTTCATCAGGATGGTTGCCATCCTGTTGTTTTTTACGGGGTAGGATTAATGGCCCTGGGCCCAACCTTCAATCTGGAGGACCAAAGACTATGTTGTAGTAAGACACAGAAGTTGCTCACTTCTTGTGAGTCTCAGAGTGGGGACTTGACTGTCCCTGTGCGGGAATCGAACCTGCGCCGTTGTGGTCTAACCAGTTTAGAGACTGCACTTATTTATTTTAATTTATTAATTATTAATTAATGATTTATTCATGTTAAATATGAAAATCATTAATCGATAATAATGCAAATTATGAAAAAGTGTCTTTTGTATGGTTAACTTAACAAAAAATCCGTAATTTTATTTTCACTTACTATAATAAAATATATAGTAACAGAAACTATAGTTTATAAAATTAGTTATTTCATGTATTGATATCTAACTTTTTTTAAAATGTTAGTCTTTAATATTAATTAATCGGAGTGTGTTCTGGATTGGACCAAATTAAAATGGAGAACCATATTACTAATTGCAATATAAAAAAAAAATTTCACTTTGTTTTTTTTGTAAGTGTTAATTTCATTTTGCTATTATATCATATAAATTAATTTATAACACTACCGTAAGAGGTGTTACTAGTAGCTATTCTGGTTATAAAAATATTTATTTTATTGTGCTTATTTTTAAATTCTTATCATGATGTGCATTATCGAACGGTAATAAATTCCGATGCATTTACAGAAAATATTATTTCAAATATCACTTGTGTTGTTTTAAGTATTGCGTCTTGTCGAGCTTTCATAAGACCCGTATAACCCCACTTAACCGGCATTCCGGATTAACCAGGGGGTACTAGGAAACGGAAAAAAAAGTTGAACAGAATTTTAATTTTAGGTCAACATCAGCACAAACCTGATTCAGACTGAGATGTCCTTAAAATAAAAAACGAAATTCATTTTTTATTACAGCCAATCTAGATAAATATAAAAATCTGTGAATTCGTAGGAATTAACATCCCAACCAACTAATGAGGAATACTTGTACTTTTTTTATCTTGTAAAAAATAATAAATAAAACGTGTATTTGTGTTTGCTTTAACAAAAATCAAGTTTGAATATTTTTTTTTTTTTTTTTTTTTTTTATTGGTGATATTTACAACTGTATTACAAGTAAAAATACATTCAGTAAATGTGAACAAGTAATAAAATTGCATGAAATCACATGTTGAGGAACTACCCATTGGTAGCACTCTAAAAATGTATTTACAAAAGGAGATCTCGAGGCCATCTTCTTTTCAGACGCCTCTGAGGGTTGTCAGGGATCGAAGAGGAAGCAAGGTTAGAAACGAGAGGGTTTGGATGGTTCTGAAGTTTGTTATGGAAGGATAGGTATCTGGATTGGGCCAAGTCGGAAACATAAGGAACATTAAGGTCGTTATGGATGATTTTGTTTGTGACAAAGTAAGGAGCAGTGAGGATTTTACGAAGGATTTTGGATTGTAAGGATTGAATACGAGAGGAATTCGACGGCTTAGTGGAGCCCCAGAGCTCAACTCCGTAAGTCCAAATAGGTCTTATTGTAGTCATGTATATGAGTCTTTTGTAATTGACTGGGAGGTTAGAGCGTTTATCTAGTAAGTGCTGGAGTAGTCGGAAACGTCGAGCTGTTTCTTGTCGTTTCAGTCTGGTATGAGGATTCCAAGTTAGACGTTTGTCTAAGTGGAGTCCAAGATATCGAATTTGTTCAACAGGAATAAGTGGGGTATTATTAAAGGATACTGTAGGACAAGAGGACATAGGTTTACGACGAAGGGTAAAGGTGATTTGATGGGATTTATTGGAATTTATTTTTATTCTCCAGTTTTGACACCATTCTTCAAGGTTTGTGATGTGTGATTGAAGGGTTTGGGATGCAATTGTTGGGTCGTTATTAACTGATAGGACACATGTATCATCGGCGTACGTGGTAATGACAGTGTTAGGATGGGTTGGGATATCAGCTGTATAAACTGTGTAAAGGATAGGACCTAGGATACTACCTTGAGGAACACCAGCGGACTGGGAAAAAAGGGATGAATAGGCATTATTATGATTTACTTTGAAGGATCTATCAGTAAGATAGGAACGGATAATGAGGAAGTATGTAGGGTGTAGGAATTTACGGAATTTTTGTAAAGCAGTCCTGGGTGCCAGACTCGATCAAAAGCCTGTTCTACATCGAGAAAGACTCCCGTGCAGTACATTCCGCGCTCCAATGCAGAGGAGACAACATCCACCACACGATGGCATTGCTGGATAGTGGAATGGGATCTGCGGAATCCAAATTGATGATCTGGGATAATGTGATTAGAATCTAGGATGGGGTACAGGCGTTTTAGGATGAGCTTTTCCAGGATTTTGCCTAGGATGGGTAAAAGGGAGATAGGGCGATAAGAGGATAGTTTGAATATTTAAATTATATCATTTATTTAAAAGAAGTTTTCATTAGCAGATTATTATTTGCATTAAACTTGCACAATTAATTTTCAAAATGATGTGACTTATATAATAATAATTCTTTTTTTTTTTTTTTTTTTTTTTTTTTTGTTTTTTTTTTGTTTTGAGGAAAGAACTCCATAAAAAAAGAGACTATATGTGTATTTTAAACTTTACTATCCTTATGGTATTACTATCTTTTTTTTCTTTTTTATCCTACATTATAAGTATTATAAAAGAGTTAAGTAGAACTTACAACTCTTATTTCGTAAAAAAATCAAACTGTTAAAATAATGTCAGTTATCATCATCAATATAAAATCTTACATTGTTAATAGAACATGTAAACAACAACAATAATACAATAAATACATTTTATCTTTTAAATATTAATATTAGATCATATTTTAAAATTAAATTTATAGTTTATTCGCATATACAAAGGGAAAAAAAGCTGGAGCAGATTACATACCGAAATCCAATCAATATTTTCGCTATAATATTCAAAGGACAATATTTAAGATTACCAAACCAAATCTCTGTGATTAGATATATTAGAGATAAAAAAATATTATTTTCTCATATCATCTATTAACTGTTGCCTTAAATATTTCCATTTCGTTAAGATTTCCCATACCCTGGTAAATTCCTATCCTCAAACAATTGTGTATTGGACACTTAAATAAAACATGATCAAGAGTCTCTTTTTCCATAATCCATAGGTTAATTCATAAATAAAATTAAAAAAAAAAAAAATAACGAAAAACATAGTTTCTTGTAAGTAATCATTGTAATTATTTTACTTACCATAAAATTTAGTAATAAATGATTTTTATATTTATAGGAGTGTCATTGTTTCATGAAATCAGAGATACATTGGATATGACATGAAGAATAATTTTTGAGTTTTTGTTTTTTGTTGATTGGCACCGTGCCAGTTGATTTTAGGAACGTTTAAGTTTACAGTAGCCCTGTTTACAGATTCGCACTCTAAAAGCTAGATCGCTGTCGATTACTTTCCTCAGCAGCTGTAAGTTATTCCGAGTGAGCCATTTGGAACCGACCCGAGAAGCTCGACCATGTTAAATCCGTCCCCGGCGGCGATCTTCTTTGATGTTAATTTAGAAGCCGACGAGAAGGTTGCTAGGAGAGGACCGGTGCTCGCTGCTCCTCCATCCATCTGGTACAGTTAGGACCTATCTCCGGCCGCTACCAAACCGGGCCCTGTAATTGCTACACTCTGCAGGAATGGCCACTTGCAATCCTCGATGGTAATGAGCCTTCGAGGGACTGGATCTACCTTCTCTATTAGCAGTCTCTATGTCTTCTATCTCGCCCCGAAGGAGTCCTTGCACGAGGAAGGCTCATCCTACATCCCTTATGTAGCGTGTAGCTATCACTCTAAGAATGTTGTGCTGAATGGGATAATCTGCTAATTGCAAGTTGTCCATACACGAATGATTAGTTATTGTGAAAATTACTTAATATGTGCAGTTCGTAACTACACTTATGTCCTGTTTAGAAGAGAGTTTTATGATGCAAAAAATAAATAAAATCAATGAACTCATTTATATTCTTCGATTAGCACTTTTCTAGCACCTACAATTTATAGACAGTTCTTGAGAGTAATGAACATAACCATTTTGCCTGGTTTGTTTCTTTCTACCCTATTTCATTCCTATTTACATAATATGTATTTATTAATAGTAGAGATATACAATTATAATATATTTCTCTAATATTGATTAACGAATTGTTTGCTCTCAATTTATGACTTATTTTTTGGACTACTACACTAATGTAAAAGATATTTTATTTATATGACCTATGTGGTTAATATTACAAAATTTGTAATTATTATATACTGCAATTCGAAATTATAAGATGTAAATAGACAGCTAACTTGAATTTCCCGTCTTACTAAAAATAGGATTACTGTTTATTTTTTAAACTTTAATATAGATATATAAATAGAAAGAAAGCTTTATTTCATATAAATTATATATATTCCTTTTTTTTTTTTAACCTTTTTTTTTATTGGTAATGGTTTATTAACAATGTCTGCCTGGAGTTGCCCTAAAAATGCATAACGAATTAATAATAATAAAATAAACAAAAACAATTAACATTAGAAACATTAAACTGCCTTTTTTTATTTAAAACAACTTAATACTACCTGATACATTTAATCTAAATAAATTTTAGGCTATTGATCCTTGTTATGAACATACTAGTTTATGACAATAGTTTAGTATAGCCGGTTTAACATTTATTCAATATTACTTTATTCTTCAATTAATGGAATTTTATAATTTACTTATTCATTTGTAGTATTAACTCTCACGATTCCTAACTTTTAAATTGGATTTTTTCCCTATTTAATATCTTCAAATCAACCCATTCAAGGCTACTGAAAGGAAATAATGTAATAGATGCATGCAGAAAAATTATTGATGTATGACATAAGAAGCATTAGGTTTATATCTTCAGTACATTTTCTTTTATTGTATGTCTTTTAACTTATTTCTTATGCTCACTGATGATATATTTTTCTGTACCAAATTTGAAGTGAAAAAAATTAAATATCCATGACATGTTATGATATTCATTTTTGAAATTTTATTTTTAAAAAAAAAGAATGATTTTTATAAAACATAACAATCAAATCATTGCAATGTAGAAGAAATAATGTCTATTATCGTATTTTAAATTTCTTCTTAAGAAATGGTTTAGGTTCAAGGTACTTATTGTAGTTTTGAAAAAAAAATTTAACTATTTTTATATTTTTTAATAAAAGATTATCTAAAGGTGATATTCTCTGTGAATTTAAATGGTTAGACTAAAATATTCCGTCTTAAATGTTTATTGAAACCAAGACAACATTTGTTATGTTTACATTTGGTCGTTATAACTCTACAGCTGCCTTTAATCAATAATTATAACTTTATTCGTGAACAAATTTAGTCTCTATCGTTATCTTTCACAACTATTATTTAGTCTATTGCAGAGTGTAGGTCTTTTCAAATTTAATTTATGGAATTGCATGACACAGCCCAATTACGTGACAATGTTGGTATTTTAATTTTCCAATTAAGTAATTATATTCTATGATAGCCGTTTGTTGTATAATTATCACATGGTTTTTGATAGTCCTAAGTTGAGGCCTTTTAAGTGTGAAGGTTGTTAGCATCCAACCGATTCTTAATTCTGTTTTTTATTATTGATATCAATAAATATCACCCAAACTTTTGAAACACAACAAACGTTGATAAAATCTCGATTAAAGAGAAAACTCAACGCACTATCTGCCCCCACATTTAATGACTTTTAAGACTTGTTCGCTTATGCAACCTCGTCATGGAAGTCTGTTTATCGTTTTCCAAACCTTACACGAACACAAATTAAAGTTAGTGTTAATTCGCGTGGTGAACGCTTCAGCCTAAGCCCATTTTCTCTACACTAGAATTAAACACTTGACAAATCACTATTGGAAACGCTAGGTTTTCTCGGAACTTACGTGTGTGTGTAGTTGCGTTAGAATTTAAAATGGATTGGTATAGAACAAATTAATAGATTTTTTCTGTTGTCAAATGCTCGAAAAAAGAGTCAACTCTTGTTAAAAAGGTTGAGAATGTGATCCAGGTATCTGTGATTAGAAACTTACACGCTATTGAATTGTAAGCATTAATTTTCAGTAGAATAAATGATATTGTGTAAATATGAAAAAGAATTGTTGACATTATATAATTGTTATGTTTAAAAATAGAAAATATACCGATCTGAATTTTGGTTTTTAATCGTTAATTTCTTATGCTAAGTTATATTAAATATATGGTTAAGATTAGGAAATTGTGCTATTGCATCATTCTAAAAAAAATAAATTATACAGTTTTGTTGAAAAAATGATTATCCTGTCAGACCTATTAATAGGTCTTTGTACTCCATCCAAAATTTATCGCTAATCCAACGATTGATATCGTTTGCCAAATGAAAAAGACTCCCACCTATTTTTCTCGATAGATAATAATCTGAAACTACCTATATATATATATATATAGGGTATTTTAAGTGTTAAGTGGCCAAACTGCAAAAATGAACTAAGGATCTAAAAACTAGATAACGATTTCCTCTGAAGGTATGTCCGCAAGCGATTTGCTAGGAGATATTCACGCCTAAAAATTTTCGCTGTTATGAATTTTTTACGTTATATGAAATAAATAAAACTTATTTATTTGTTCTAACTACTTTATTAATTAAAAGTAAACATTAACATTCATATTAATGTTGTTCAAAGTGATTTCCTTGAGCAATAAGACAGGCTCGGACTTCTTTCTTCAACAGCAGCAGTGGCAGAACGGCACTGGAATTGTGTTATTGTTTCAAAAGATTCAGTTATCCTTCTTCTTAAGAAATTAAGGTCATTGACCGGACTTGCATAGACTTTTTCTTTAATATCAATCCAAACAAAAAACCCCTGGTCCTCCTCTGCCAATTTATTGATTGGGATATGGGATATGATTGAGCAAGTCCGGTCAATGACCTTAATTCCTTACGATGAAGGGTAATTGAATCTTGTGAAACAATAAGATATACCCAGTGCCGTTTCGTCACTGCTGCTGTTGAAGGAAGGTCTTAATGCTCAAGGAAATCACTTTGAACAACATATAATATGAGTGTTAATGTTTACATTTAATGAATAAAGTAGTTAGAACAAATAAATAGGTTTTATTTATTTCATATAACGTAAATAATTCATAACAACGAAAATATTTAGGTGTGAATATCTCCTAAACAAAGCGTTTATGGACATGCCTTCAGTTCATTTTTTGCAGTTTGGCCACTTAACCCTGAAACAAGCTATATATAAAATCCACTCCAAAAAAATATTTCTAAAATATTAATATTAATGAATTTCATTATTAAAATATCAATCATAACTTATCTTTGAGGATATTATAGCTTTCTGACTTTATTATAATTTGTTTAGGTATGATAAATTTTTATTAAACAACGTTTATTGGATAATAATAAAATCTGTGTCATTGTTGGGCAACAAGTATTAGGGCAACAAGTAGGCGTCCATTCATGCAATACATAAATACTGAAAAGTCATTATTATAAATAAATTAAAAAATAACAATAAGAAAATATTAATGTACAATAACAAGATAAAAGGAAAACATTGTAGTACACATGCTTCAGAAACAAAATTATGTAAAGAAATAAATTATAATATCTGAATGAGAAGATACCGGTTAAAGGAACCTAAAGCTGTATAATCAATAGATAAAGTAAAAATAAAATGTCATCCTATCTTTTTCTGTGGAACTTGATCGGTCTTATCCTACACTTTCATTAATATGGTTTTAAAAATTCGAATCAACGCAAGAATTAATCCTTAAGATACTGCAATTACACTGTGCAATGTTGTAGTCCGATTAAAAATAGGTCGCATTACGCAAATTTCATGAGTGGAAGTAATAGGTAATTATAGTGCAGGGGCTCATTATGAAACAGTCCCACTTTCTAAATTGTTCACTAAAGATTATACGCCTCGGCCGTGCACCAATTAAGTTTAAGATTTGTAAAGGCCATCGATAATTTTTACTTCTCGTGATACAAACGTGTGTAAGGTAATACCAACCTTGCGTAATCGCCTGCTCCATGTTAATCCAATTAGTTTTTGAGGCGTTGGATCTGTTTTAAAATTAAAATTTAATTATTTTTATAATTTTCGAATGATGGTTGTGTGTCGAAATTGTCCATTATAAATTTAGAGCACGTTAATTGGAGTTGGAGTGCGTTTTAGTCTTGAATAAAACCTGAATTTCGTCATTTTTTCTGTGAGGGTTATCGTTAATAGCGATGTCAAGTAATCTGTGAATGTAATAATGTTTTTGATTAAAACTATTTATATTAAATTTTAGTTTCAAAAAAGTTTGTTGATTTCAAAAAGGTGCAAACTCCTATTTTGGTTAATTTAGTTTGATTTTAATTTTACAATATGAAAAATATCTTTCATATGGCCAAAATTAAATTATATGTTTTCAAATAAAATTCTACACCGAAAATCTAAAGTTTAAAAAGAAATAGGTTTGTTTAGTAATAAATTAAAGAAACGACAGAAGTAATATTTGATAAATGGAAAGCAAAATTCAAAGAATTTTTTTTGTTATTTTTTATTTATTCATTATTTTAATGGAATTTACAACTGTATTACATAGAAAATACAATAAGTAAATGTGGAATTGGTGACATGGCATGTACAACATTAAGAGAAACTACGCATTGGTAGAACTCAAATTAAAGTTCTATATTAGAAGATCCCGAGGCCATCTTCTTTTCAGAAGCCTCGGAGGGTTATCAGGGATCGAGGAGGAAGTAAGATTTGAAACGAGAGGATTCGGATGGTTCTGCAGTTTGTTATGGAAGGACA